GGCTCACCTGAGCTGGAAGTTTATGGCCAGAAAGATAACGTTCCTCGAGACGACCTCACGACATCACTTCCTTAGTTCGCTTCCACAGCAAGTCAAGCCTCGTCGTGGCGCGATCCATAACCTCTAAAAGCTCATAAAAAGCGCATTCCGGGGGTAAAATACACGTTTTTCGGCGGGGATCTTCCAGTAAAATTCACGTTCCAGGGACTAAATATCACGTTATTGGAGTCGCTTCAACCCGCGGACATGAACAACAACCCGCGGCAACAGTGTTAAGTAGCCCAATTCTACAGGAAAACCGCGGACTTGGCAACTGCTTATGAACCGACCGCGCTATAGCGTTTCCTTGGTTACCGCTGTAAACAAAGCAGAGCCGCACTTTTCTCAAGACAGTACCCTTCAGTGATACATTAATATAACCCCATAAATGTAATGCATTTTTGTACTTATTTTACTGTTTTTTTCGGGATCTACTGGGACAGTGATAAAGATCTACCAGTCGATCGCGATCGACGGGTTGGCGACCACTGCTCTAAACTGACTATTTGTGTGTGTGTTTTTTTTGGCAAAAAAATACTTGAAGGAATTCAGTATATCTCTCTGAGGAGAATACAAAATTTAGGATAGATTCATCTGTCATGCCTGAATGTTTCTTTTTTGTTAGGGACTGACCCTGTGTCAAGAGAACAGCTTGAATCTTTTATTACTGATAGAAAGTTCTCTCAGTCAGAGGCAGAAACACAATGAACTATGCCATTTGTCATGCACAGGGTTGGTGACAACAACATCGCGGAAACTGGACAGAGAAAAGCAAGCGGAGCATCTTCTTGAAGTAAGTGAGCCTGTCCTGATGACATCCTGTAACTGATGACTTTGTATTTGGACAAGTTCATATGGCTTTCTGTTTTTCACAGAGCATAAAAGGAGAATTATCTTGCTTCTTTTTTCCATACAAAAATAGTGCATAATGATCACGTGTCAAGCACCAAAAACGATACAAAAATAACTGAAAAGTAGTCTATGCACTTGTGCACTTGTCTGATTTGTGAATGAAATGTTCTTTTGAGACATTCTAATTTAGTGTTTCACTGAAAAAAAATGGCACCATACAGGTTTAAAATGACACGATGTGTGCAGTGCTGGGTAGATTACTTACAAATTGTAAACTACATGACAAAAATTGTAGTTTGTAACATAATCCATTATATTACACATTTTTGGTAATGTAATCAAACTACATTTTGATTACTTTTGGCCTAACTTATTTATCACGTTGATTTAAATAGGATCATCTTCTCAATCATATTGATATAAAAATACAAAGAGAAAGAAAATATATTACATTCGTGTTTATTACCAACATAAAGTGTGTTAAACATTACAGTGCATCAAGGTTTCCCAAACTGGGATTCGTGATTTTAGATAAATTTGTAACTAAATTAATTATCAAAGCAAAAAAGAATAAATCCCACACACTATCCGCACTTGCAAATGTATCAACAATAGATTTATTCACAACAATGTTGTTGTGAATAAATCTATTTTTGATACATTTGCTTTGATGTTGACCTGTTTTTGGTCATTTATCCTACACACCTATCAATCACCTACAGCTGTGTGAGGGTAATTGTTGATTGATAAATACAGAGTTCTGGCATGAAACTCTGGATGGCACTGTCCGATAGGTCTAACTCAATCTGACCTAATGACATCATTATCACATGGCACAGCTGATTGGTTCTCTCCTGTATCGGTAGCCAATGAGCTCGCTGCTCAACATTCAAATATATGACTAGTGTTTGCTGTAGCAGTTGCAGCTTGCTTCAGAAACCCTCCACCTTCCCCAGCTCCACCTGTATAGATCTGCTACGAGGTGATTCATGTATGCTATATGGGGGTTATTTCATGTATGTTACATTTGCAGCAGCAATATTTCTTACATGCTCACAGCAGCATGTTGTGGATGTTTTGGCAGTAGCAAGTCTCGGTACTTGCTCTGCCGCAGCAGCGTAGCAGATCTATTCCGCCAAGACCAAATACATTAACATTGTCATGTACATTACCATGCCAATCCCTCCGAGAGTTGTCATGACAGAACTAAATTTATTATGAATAATTTATTGCTATTGTGTGAATAATATGTACAGTTACAAAGTAACTGTAGTCCGATTATCAGTATTTAAAAATTTAATATAATCCAATAACAAGTACTTAATTTTTGGAATCTGATTACATAATCCAGATTGCATGTAATCAGTTTTCATTTTTGGGTAAACTGTTCCTGTTGAACAGATATTGCAGTTTACATTTATTTGAAAACATTTTATACCTCCCTAATGTTTACTTTGGCAGTAGCTTCTTAAGTGTTCAGACATGAGATCTATTTTTTTCTTTTAAACAGATCACTGTTTCAGATGATGGCAGCCCATCCAAGTCTACAGTGGTTCGTGTGATAGTCAGCATTTTGGATGAAAATGACAACAGTCCCCAGTTCTTGGAAAAGAGTTTTAAAATCAAGCTGGTGGAACGACCAGAGGCAGTTGAATGGGAGCCAATTTATCGAGTGATTGCTTATGACAGAGATCAGAGTCCCTCCTCTGATATCACATACACGATCGAGGAGGATGAAGAGCACGGGAAATTCTTCATTGAGCCCACAACTGGGTTTGTGCTCTCCAAAGAGGCTTTTTCAGCGGCGGAGTATCATATTCTCACAGTGCGTTTATTTCAATTCCTAGTCTTCTAACGGTGTTAGACTTAATAGAGGTGTATTTGCGGCTTCAGACTGAATGTGCACATGCCACTTCATATTTTTGATCCAAGTAGATTTTGAATGCATCTTCTGAAAAATTATAGAATATTTTGTCAATTTTCATAATTAGATTAAATAACGTTGTAGTTTAAATATTGTGGAAGAAAACAACCATTAACATTAGTTTTTACAAGAAAAAAAAAACAGTATATCCCCTTAAAAAAATTGGTTCTTGACATGTCTAGTCCTCTATGTCAAGAAACAAGAGAAAACACTCACACTGCTTTCTTGCAGATTAAAGCATCAGACAATGGGAAGCCTTCAAAGTCGTCCATCTGTCGGTTGCACATTGAGTGGATTCCAAAGCCTAAGCTGGCTAAACAACCGCTGGCGTTTGAGGAGATTCCACTCTCATTCTCTGTGATGGAGAATGATCCAGTAGCCCATATGGTGGGAGTTTTCAGCGCTCAGCCACTTAACTCACCTGTATGGTTTACAATCAAAGGTAAAGATCTAAAGCTCTTCAATCTGCCTTAAAAGAAAATTTCCCAAAATGAATATTCTGTCATCTGTACACCCTCATGTGATTCCAAACTCATATGTCTCTCTTTCTTCAGTGAAGCACAACAGGAGAATTTTTTAGGAGTATGGTCTTCTCTATTTCAGGCAATCACTATGAATAGCGACTGGAGTTTTCAAGCGTCAAAAAGGACATAAAAGCATAATGTTTCCATAAAAGTGTCCATATGACTCATGCACTACATTTTAAACCTACTGAAGTCATACAGTAGCTTTAAGTGAAGAACAGACTAAAATTTAAGTTGTTATTCACTGATAATCTTCCACTCCAGTGATCTGTTAAATGCTATAAAAAGTCAGTGAGTTAAACTCCAATACTGAATCATGAACATATTTAATGATGATTCACTGGAAAGATATGACAAATCATTTCATATTACTTCTATCATGACTAGATCACATAACTATGAAAACTCTCATATTGTTTCAAACATGCACGAGTTTCTTTCATCTAACAAAAGAATATAACGTTTTATATAACGTCAATTTTTTTTTATTATACTATGATAGTCAATGAGTTCCAGTGTTGTTTGGTTTCCAGTGTTCCTCAAAATATCTCATACAGGCTTGGAATGACATGAGGGTGAGTAAATTATTATTTTTTTTTATTTTATTTTTTTTACTTTATTTAAACTTCAGTATAATTCTCACACAATGTTTTAGAATGGGTTTCGAAGACAGCACACAAATCATGTACCACTTTTATGGTGCTTTTTGAAGTTTTAAAGCCCCAGTTCTCATTCACTATAATTGCATGGAGAAAAAAATAATTAGTACATTTCTCCTTTTATGTTTGGAAGCAAGAACATCATCAGGATTGGAACGACATGAGGGTGAAATGGAAATACATTTTTGGGGTGAATTACTCCTTTAAAGGAAAGCAATAAATACAGTGTTTAGTCATCTGTAGTCATTCTTGATGCTTCAGCTCTTTATAGTTCAATGTTTATTTGATCTTCAATAACCCAACCTTGATTTTGCCCTAATCAGCTTTCGACTAACTAAATGTTTTTTTTTTTCCTCTGCCTCATCTGCTTTTCTTTTCCTGTTTCTCTACTAATGCTTCACAAGGAGTCACACATGTTAAAGAGGTTTTTCACATCCTACAGATGGCTTGTGACCTGAACTGTACAGCAGGTATCTGCTGATAGAAATATCGCTTCTTGTTTTTCTTACAGTTCTTGCATGATTTCCTATCAGTTCTCCCAGAAAGAGTTCTGAATCTGTATTCTGTGGAAGAGATCTTGCACATTATTTACTTTCTTTGAATATTTGCTACTTTAATAGCTAATGCAAATGATATATTATGCATAAATTACACCTGTTAGTGAACAGCGTTAAAATGTGACTGATGTCTGTGTTTGTACTAACAGGTGGAAATGCTGACAGCCGCTTTGACGTGGAGAGGGCGAGTGGCACATTAATCATCGCTGGAGCTCTAGATGCTGAACGGCAGTCAAATTACAACCTCACTGTTGAAGCAACAGATGGAACAAGATCTATCAGCACTCAGGTGTTTGGTCTTTAATGGCACTTACCAAGAAATTGCCCATGCATTTATAAAATTGGAGCGGTTGAATAATGGATGGAGGATAAGAAAAATTATGCACATCTTTGCCTTTGACAAAGATTGCATACGCGTGCATCTGCATTGTGACAGGATAATTGTTTTCTTGCTTAGTATTACCTATACATTCCGTCACTGCTCAAATTGCAAAAACAATTTAAAAAGAACAAGATTACATGCCACAGGTTTAAATTTGTCAGAAAGCAAACATATCATTTTGCTTTTTCCTAAATGCTTGATATCTTAACCTTTTGATCACGTGTCTAAAAAAAGTCCAAAAAAAGAAAGAATTACAGATTTTAGTTGTATCCATTTCATTCCTTTGTCTTGCTACAAGTGACATTTCAAATCGAAAGATCAGGTTTAATCTCAAATGAACATATTCAATTTCATGTCTAAAACATGATATCTCAACTAGCTGGAATTTGCCCTGGCACCTGCATATTGCAATTCTTGGCTGGAGTCAGGCTCTCTGGCTGTCTTTCTAATGTACAGGCTGCCTTTGTCCTTTTGTCATGGTGTGAACATACCTCTCCTTGGGCGATACCTGCAGGTATCAGCCAAGCCAGCCAGCCTTATCAGGTCACAGTGTGAGACACATCCATCAGTGTGAGCAGACCCAAAGGCAAAGAATGATGTGAGAGGGAGTAATGTTTTAAAAGAGAGCTCCGTTTCAGCCCTCAGACCCCAGTTTTTCATACATTTTTGTCTCGGGTTAATACGTACTGGGTGCCCTTATGTTCTTGTTGCTTGAGTAAACATACATTCTCCAAAAAACATGAGTGTATTTATGATGAACTTAAAGTGTGGATTTTGGACATATGCAATGGTTTTGATGGAGGTACTTCCTTAAAATCAGCTGATTTTCACCCATTTGTTTCTCAACTGATCTCACTGCCATACAATGTAATGTAATGTAATATAATATTTTATATAATTTTTGAACCCTATGAAACCTGAATGTCAGAAAAATCTATCTAAAGCCTGATGTATCACATTTGGTACTCTACATTATTCACATAATTTTTCTTAAAAAATCATGTATCAATAATCAAGTAAACCTGAGTTGCTTTAGTCCACTAACAAGCAGGGAGTTCGCAAACGGCCTCTATAGCCGTGACAGGACAGACAAAGAGTTCTCAGATGACCTCCTTGGCCGGAACAGAACAGGCAGAGAGTTCAAAGACGGCCTCCTTGGCCGGAACAAGACAGACAGAGAGTTCATAGGCGGCCTTGACTGGACTCATGACGATCAACTGTGACTAGACCTGACTCATGACGATCAGTTGTGACTTGACTAGACTCATGACGATCAACGGTGACTAGACCTGACTCATGAATATCAGCTGTGACTTGACTTGACTCATGACAATCAGCGGTGACCTGACTTGCCTCATAAAGATCAGCTGTGACTGGACCAGACTCATGTAGCGTCTGGACCAATCAAACACACAATATATATTTTGTTAGCTATATTTAACAAATACTCTGTAACACCCCTCAGTTAACAAGCCATACGAGGACCTATGGACCCTTCCCCCGAAATGCGTAACACCCCAGGAAGCCGAACAGGCCCCTGGTCCCCATGGCAACCATGACACCTCTGCTAGACCAGATGCCGCCATTTTGTGAACGTAATCTAGTGCGGGGGCCATTACAGGAGTGAGTGTGGGGTTGCGTTCCTCCGCGATACCCACAGTCCACAAAGAGCCAACAGTCAATAAAGCATAATCCATAAACTCACATAGTGACGAACGTGGACCCTCAAGTATGAGTTTAGACTTTAACGGTTGCTTAATGCCATTACAGAAAAAAATCTATTTAAACACAGTCCGGTAGATCAGAGTGATAGGCAATGTCCAGATACTCTTGAATGTAAGCCTCGAGCGAGCGTGTGCCCTGCTCGAGGGCTAACAACAGCCTTGCAGTGTCCATACCTGGCCAATGTCCACTTGAAAAGCCGCTGGATCCAGAGTCAATGAAAATGGAAAGGGTGACCTCTGATGGCTAGCAGACGGAAGTTCATGGACCGGATACGTAACAATTAAAGTCTTTGAGATCAAGTCAGTTGAGATTTCACAGCAAAAAGACCTGAAGGGGGATGTTTTTATAATTATGCTAAAAGGTATTTTTTTTTTGTAAAAAAGTATCAATCAGACAACAGAAGGCATTTAGTAAATTGTGTATAGTTTAAATACCTTAGAAATTTGTGAATTAAATATAATACAGCAGGGCTTTATAGGGTTACATGCGCATATGGCATATTTAACTGTGTGGATTGTGCTTTGTTAAACAGGTCATAATTCATGTTATTGACACAAATGAACATCGCCCCCAGTTTGGCTTAAACCAATATGAGATAAGTATTCCAGAGGAAACTCAGCCTGGTATGAAGATACTGGAAATAAATGCAACAGATAAAGATGAGAAGAACAAATTATCCTACACACTGTTGAGCAGCACGGACCTGTTTAGCCTGAAGAAGTTTCGTATTGATCCTGGAACAGGCTTTCTGTACACCGCTGAAAAACTGGACCATGAAACCATGCACAGACATATCCTCACAGTAATGGTAAGGCCACATGTAATCTTTTTTGTCCTCTACAATAGGTATTAAAAAAAAAAGCATAATAAATTACCAGCTGGTTGTTACAGTGTGTAATATTATTCCAGGTTAGGGATCAAGATGTGCCTGTGAAGAGTAATGTTGTGAGAGTGATCATCAACGTGGAGGACAGTAATGACAATGCACCATGGTTCACAAGCTCTCAGTACACTGCCCGTGTGTTTGAGACAGCTGCGATTGGTTCATCTGTATTACAGGTCACTGCTCTGGACAAAGACAAAGGCCTAAATGCTGAAATTCTCTACAGCATAGATTCAGGTACAGCATGGCTCAATTAAAGGGTTAATTCACCCAAAAATTTTAATCGGCTTGTGTTTTACTCACCCTTGAAGCATCCTAGGTGTATATGACTTTCTTCTTTCAGTCGAATTCAGTCGGAGTTATATAAAAAATTGTCCTGGCTATTCCAAGCTCTATCATTGCAGTCAGCGCGTGTTGCAGTTGAACAGTCCACAAGTCGTCAAATAAAGCGCACTCATCCATAATAAAACATGCTTCACACGGCTCCGGGGGGTGAATAAAGGCCTCCTTTAGTGAATCCATGCGTTTTTGTAAGAAAAATATACATATTTCAAACATAATAAACACTTTTCTCTCACTTCATGTGTACGCCTGTCATACGCGAAAGGCATTCCGGCGGAAGGCGTATGACGTATGCGCAGCGCCTAGTCAGCGCCTCTGACTAGCCTCTGAGATATGCTAGTCTCGCGAGTTCGTTTATAGGAGCAAAAGAAGCAAAGTTTCCTTACTTTAGCAAAGGAAAACCAGTCTCCTCTTGGCTTATATCAAAATCCTCCGACATTGTTCTTTGCAAATCTTCGGTTTGTGCTTCTAATTCGTGAATGGTGTTTTGTTTTGTTGTCTCTCTGTGTTCGTCACTTATCACGCAGCTGCGTCATCCGCCGGCACGGCTTCCGCGTATGACAGATGGCGGAAGTGATAGAAAAGTGTTTATTACGTTTGAAATATGGATATTTTTCTTACAAAAACACATGGATTCGCTACAGGAGGCCTTTATTCACCTGCCGGAGCCGTGTGAAGCACGTTTTATTATGGATGAGCGCGCTTTATTTGACGACTTGTGGACTGTTCAACTGCAACACCCGCTGACTGCAATGATAGAGTTTGGAATAGCCAGGACAATTTATTATATAACTCTGCCTGGATTCGTCTGAAAGAAGAAAGTCATATACACCTATGATGCTTCAAGGGTGAGTAAAACACAAGCCAATTTTAATTTTTGGGTGAACTAACCCTTTAACACTGTCAAGTCACTGGAAAAGTTGTATTGTTGATGGAAAATGATTATTATTATTATTAATTTCTAGAAATCTTAAATACAATATGTACTAATATACATAAAACCACAAATAATAAAGGTTGTATATTATACAGACAGAATTGCTGTATCAATTGCCAGTGGGATGTTCAACGTAACTATAATATTGTTCTCTCTCTATTTCTTAATGTGTCTTTTCTCTCTCTGTGATGGTATAGGAAATCATGGAAATTCCTTCAACATTGATCAGTCTTCAGGCATTGTAACAGTTGCAAGAGAACTTGATCATGAATACAAAGACCAGTATGAATTGGTAATTAAAGCATCAGATAAAGGAGAGCCTCCTCTCAGTGTGGTTACAACTATCAAGGTCACGGTCACTAGCTTGGATAATACCAAGCCAAAGTTCCCCTTCAATTCAATATCAGCTGAAGTCAGTGAATCTGTCGCTGTTGGGAGTTTTGTAACTTTAGTCTCAGCCTTCAGTCAATCAACCATCAACTATCAGATCAAAGAGGGAAATGTGAACAGCGTGTTTGACATCAATCCAAACTCTGGTGCTGTCATCACACGGAAAAAACTGGACTTTGAAACCCTTTCGTCATATAAACTGATTGTGCAAGGGTCAGACATGGCTGACGGGTCAAGCAGCGTCACAGTCAACATTCATCTAAAAGATGAAAATGACAATGCTCCTGTTTTTACTCAACCTGAATTTACTGGCTTCATCAGTGAGTCAGCCATGGTCAGAAGTGTAGTTCTGACCTCTCAGAATGTTCCGCTTGCTGTTCGTGCAACAGATGCTGATCAGCACTCAAACGGCAGGCTTGTTTATGAGATTGTGGAGCCATTTGCTCATAACTATGTTTCTATTGATTCTGGGACCGGAGCTATTCAAACTCTCAGCAACTTGGATTATGAGCAGAGAAAGGTGTTTAACTTCCAAGTTCAGGTCCATGACACTGGAGCGCCACGTTTGTTTGCTCGAAACACTGCCAATGTGACTATATACGTCATTAACGTCAATGATTGTGCTCCAAAATTCACTCAGGATTCATATGAGACAACACTCCTCCTTCCAACCTACAAAGGGGTTAAAGTGACAACAGTAAAGGCTACAGATGAGGACTCATTGCCAGACACCAAACTGCACTTTGAACTTGTAGATGGCAACATAGGGAACAAATTCCTGCTTGATCCAACTTCAGGTGATGTTTTTGTGCAAAATGCTACACAGTTGCGGAGCAGGTACAGACTGACAATCCAAGTCTCTGATGGAAGCTTTACTGGCACTGCAACTGTTAAAGTCAGTGTTAAAGAAAATAAAGGTCACAATTTGAAGTTTACTCATGAAATTTTCACCGCCTATGTGCAGGAAAACTCAGTGGAGAAGAAAACCCTGGCAATCCTCTCTGTAGTTGGAAATAGAGTCAATGAGCCTTTGTTTTATTCTATTCTCAATCCTAACAGCAAATTTGAAATTGGACACACATCTGGAGTGCTCTTCTCCACAGGCATCCCATTTGATCGTGAAGAGCAGGATTTATTTGAAATGTTTGTGGAGGTTACAATAGAGCCAAGGTTAAACGGTACCGCCCATGTGCTTGTGAGAGTTCATGTTGAAGATGTGAATGATAATGCCCCCGTCTTTGTAGATCAGCCCTATAATGTCATTGTTCCGATCGAAAAAACCGTGGGTTCAGTTTTCAGGAAGGTGACCACCGTGGACAAAGATATTGGCAGAAACGCAGAGGTTACATACTATTTGAAAGGTCATGATAGATATTTTCAGGTAAGCCCTTCTGGAGAAATCTCTCTTAAGAGACCTCTTGAGCTTAAAAGCGTTGGCAAATTCGTCATTAACATCGCCGCACAAGATGGAGGCGAACCACCGCTGTTTTCAAAAGCAGAGGTTGATATTTCAGTGGTAAACAAAGCCACACCAGTGTTTGAAAGACCTTTTTACAAGATTGAAATCCCTGAGAATGTGCAAGTGCGTACTTCTGTACTCCAAGTCGTGGCCAATCAATCTGCAGGACCTCGTACGGTCTACAGCATCTGTGGGGGAAACCCATTCAATCAGTTCTACATTCATTTCAATTCTGGACTCATTGAAGTCATCCAGCCATTGGATTATGAGGCTCATCCTGCATATCGGTTATGCATCCAGGCAACAGACTCTCTAACCGGGGCCAACTCTGATGTTTTCGTAGATATCATATTGGAAGACGTCAATGACAATGCACCCAAATTTGAAGCGGCAGTGTATAACATTAGCATCTCTGAATATGTTGTAACTGGAACCTCAGTGCTACAAGTGGTAGCCATGGACTCTGACACAGGAAGCAATGCAATATTGTTTTATCAGTTGTATGAAAAGGATGGAGCCACTTCAGATTACTTCAGAATAGATGTTGAGAGTGGAGTCATTTGGACTGCAGGGCTATTGGACCACGAGACCCAATCACAGCATGAATTTACTGTAAAAGCAGTTGACCGTGGAGTGTTTCAGCTGTCTGCTGAGGTCCAAGTGATCATATATGTAACAGATCTTAATGACAACCCGCCTGTTTTTGCACACCAGCTTTATAATGCCACCATAAGTAAGATTTCTTCTCCAGGGCAGCTTGTGACCTGTGTTAAAGCATATGATGCTGACAGCCGTGGAACCAGTCAGCTTGAGTATGCTATTTTGTCTGGAAATGACAACAATGTCTTTGCCACTGATGCGTCAAGTGGAGAAATTGTGATTGCCAACATCAACCAACAGTCTCTTGAGCACTTCTACAGCTTAATTTTGTCAGTAACTGATGGTGTATTTAGAAGTACTGCTGAGGCAAACATCTATATGATGGGCGAGAACAGCCACAGCCCATCATTTACCCAGGATGAGTATGTTATTGAGCTCGCTGAGAACTCTCCAGTTGGTACATTGGTTGGACAAGTTGAAGCCACTGACAAAGACCCAGGGATATATGGACAGTTAACATTCTTCATTGTAAATGATATTGCCAGGGATAAATTTACCATCGACGATGATGGCCGGATTCACACAGTAGAGTGTTTTGACAGAGAAAACCCAGACGAGAGAACAATTAGCATCAGTTTAATGGCTAAAGATGGCGGTGGTCGATTAGGCTTTTGTACTGTTATTATAATTCTCTCTGACCTGAATGACAATTCACCCAAATTCAGGCTTTCAGAATATAAAGTTACTGTGCCGGGAGATGCTTCCAGTGGTACGACAGTGATCAAAATATCTGCAGTAGATGAAGATGAGGGAAGTAATGCTGATATCATTTACACTATTGACTCTGATATAGGGAACTTCGAAATTCATCCACTTAGTGGTGCAATTGTCACAAAGGAAAGTCTAATTGGACTGGAAAAGGGCCTCTATTCCTTATTTGTGAAGGCTAAAGATTCTGGAAGCCCACCAAGGCAATCTGTTATTCCAGTTTCAATTAGAATAGTTCCCCCTGAAACATCAATCCCAAAGTTTGCGGAGCCGTCACTGTGGCTGGAGCTTTCAGAAGACCTGGCTGTCGGAACTGAGATGGATATCTTCCAAACCGAGAATGAGCGGCCTGTGATCTACAGCCTTGTTGGAGGGAACACCCCCGAGAGTAACAAAGATGATGTCTTTGCTATTGACAGCAGTACTGGAAAGCTTACACTCACAAAAAGACTAGACTATGAAACTATTAAAAGGTATCAGCTTACAGTGCAGGTCCAAGATGCTGAAGATGGCATAGAAATTGTCTCAACTATAGATGTGAGTATCCATCTCAAGGATGTCAATGATAACAGCCCACAATTTGAGTCCTACCCCTACCAGTCATATATTGTTGAAAACCTACCAAAAGGGACTTCTGTAGTGCAGGTCAAGGCCACCGATCTGGATTCCTGGCTGAATGGTCAGGTCACTTATACTCTGCATGAAATCCAGGAGTGCCCTGACATTCTGCAGATGTTTACAGTGGACAGTGTCACGGGCTGGATAACCACCCTCAAAGAGATAGACAGAGAAAAGACAGACCGATATCGAATCACGGTGCTGGCCACAGACCGAGCCCAAGGGCTACAGATGACAGGCACTACTGTTGTAGAAGTGACAGTTGTGGACACAAATGACAACCCTCCGTTATTTACTGAAGCAGTTTTTAAAGGCACTGTGAGAGAAGATGAATCTACAACAGGAACAGTTGTTACTATTCTCAGCTATACTGATTCTGACAGTGAGGAGGTCAACAGGAGGTTCAGCTACTTTATCACAGGTACACTGTCCATGCTACTAAGTGAAACCAGTGAGATTCATAAGATTAAAGAGATCACCATAAATGTCATCATTTACTCATCCTCATGCTCAGGGATATATAGAAGCCCGTTTCTGCCACTGAATTAAAAAAAGGCAATTGTGACTTTTTATCTCAAAATTCTGACTTTTTTTTTCTCGCAATTACATCTCGCAACTCTGACTTGTTTTCTCAGAACTGCGTGATATAAACTTGTAATTGTGAATTATAAAGTCAGAATTGCGAGATATAAACTCGCAATTCTGACTTTTTTTTTCTCAGAATTAAGAGTTTATAACACACAATTCTGAGGAAAAAAATTTCAGAATTGAAAGTTTGTATCATGAGATGTAAACTCATAATTGCAAGAAAAAAGTCCGAATTGTGAGATAAAAACTCGCAATTACCTTTTTGATTTTTAATTCAGTGGTGGAAACAGGCTTCCATAGTGATATTTTTGTTGCTGTAACACAAAAAGAAGAATGTCCAGACTCTTCAGACTGCCCAGAAATCAAACCATACAGTTTTTACACTATTATTCTATTAGTGTTTTTTCATTTAAGATCTGTTTATATTGTGCGAGTTAAATATTATGCATCATGAACAGCATTTTCATTTTTGGGTGAACAATCCCTTTAACTTTGACAACCCTAAAAATACATGGTGTAAAATATTTGTCTTTTCTCCTTTCCTTCTTGACCCCCTAAAATCCCCTTGCGGCCCCTGGAACCACTTTGAAAACCATTTGTCTAAAGCCATACAATAACTTTGAGAAACAGACCAAATTTTTATTTTTAGGTGAACTATCTATCCCTGGTATAGAAACTGGTATTGGCATTTCAACATGATTATTTTGTGAGGCGTTTATTAACCTTTGGATAGTTAGCAAAGAAATTACAGACCTAACGGCAGAAACTCAATTGCTGGATGTTATGAATAATCTATTATATGTATATTAGTGTTTTGTATTATACTGAAGCTGATTAGAGATATTCAGAGCATCTTGTTATTGTCCTCAGTTTCATTACATCACCTGATTAGTATCTTGTTTACAGCTAGAAATACAATGAATCTCCAAGCTGTGTAGAATGATGCTAAATGCATGATGATTTGACTGCTAATCTCCTTATTAAATATTTCTGATTAGACCAAAGTTAAGTTTTCCTTGTTTAATGTATTCAGGTGGAGACCCGCAGGGCCTGTTTGATGTGAAGCACACAGATGGTGTTTGGGTGGTCGCTGTCAAAAAAACCCTGGACAGGGAGGAGAGAGATTTCTATCTTTTAAACATCACAGCCATCGATGGAACCTTTGAGACAAAGGCTACCATAGAGATCACTGTCCTTGATGCAAATGACAACAGTCCCGTTTGTGAGAAGGCATGATGTATATATTAATTATACCCTGAGCTCTTTATTCTGAACTGTGCAGAGAACTTTTAATTAATACATTTTAGACACATTTTTTTACAGAGAATTTAGTTTTTACAAAGTGACTTCTGCAGTGTCAGTTTAAATTGAAATCCACTTTTGTTCTCAGGATGTGTATACTCAAACTGTTCCTGAAGATGCACTTGTTGGAAGACAAATTCTTCAAGTCTCAGCCATTGATGCAGATATCCAGTCAAATGCAGAAATCACGTACCAGCTGAGTGGCAGTGGAGCTGAATCATTCACAATTGATGCCAAAACAGGTAAAATAAGCAAATGGGAAATATATAGTCATTCAAGCCTGCATTTTTATCTAAAGCAAGAGGTTAAGTGTCTGATTCAAGGACATAATGGCAGTAGCTCATTGATCACTCCTTGCCTGGTTCAAGCCCACAACCTTGTGTTTATCGGTCCTGATTGGTATCGACTTTAATGCATTCAGTGTTTAATGTGAATAGCAATTTTCATAATACCTATTGTTCCAAAGCCACTTTACATAGAAACCCCTTAAAACCCCAAGTGAACAAGCCAAACATGAATGTGGCAAGGAAAAACTGTAAGACTGTAAATGTAAGGATGAGAAGGAATCACTCAAAAGAATGTTCCCATCCTTTCTCTTGCCGGCATGTTTAAAGAGTACCTATTAATGTATTTAAATAAAAACAAAACTGTTCAAAAGTTTGGGGTTGGTAAGATTTTTTATGTTTTTGAAAGAAGTCTCTTACAATCTCTCAGGCTGCATTTATTTGATCAAAAATAAGTAGAAACAGTGATATATTGGGAAAAAAATATAAATATATTATTTATATTATAATATATGTAATCTATTGTAATTTTTTTTCCTGTGATGGCTATAAGCTACAATTTCAGCATCATTACTCCAGTCTTCAGTCTCTCTTGATCCTTCAGAAATCATTTTAATATGCTGATGCTTAAGAAACATTTCTTATCCATGTTGAAAACAGATAGAAATATAAATAGAAAGATAAATAGAAATCTTTAGTAACAGTATGTCTTTACTGTCTCTTTTGATCAATTTAAAGGGATAGTTCACCAAAAAATGAAAATTACTCCATGATTTACTCAGCCTCAAGCCATCCTAGGTGTATATGACGTTCTTCTTTCAGATGAATACAATCTGAGTTATATAAAAAAATGTCCTGGCTCTTCCCAGCTTTATAACGGCAGTGAATGGCTGTCAAGATTTTGAAGCAAAATAAAGTGCATCCATCCATTATAAAAAGTACTCCACATGGCTTCGGGGGGTTAACACAAACACATTGATTCACTTCAGAAGGCCTTTATTAACCCCCCGGAGCCATGTGGAGTACTTTTTATGATGGATGTATGCACTTTATTTTGCTTCAAAATCTTGACCACCATTCCCTGCCATTATAAAGCTTAGAAGAGCCAGGATATAGGATGGCTTGAGGGTGAGTAAATCATGGGGTAATTTTTATTTTGGGGTGAACTATCCCTTTAATGCATGCTTGCTGAATAAATTTCTTTCTTTATTAATTTCTTTTAAAAAAAGTACTGACTCCTAAACCTTTGAACGGTAGCATAAATATTCATATCTTTCTTCTAGGTGCAGTGAGAACACTGGTAACCCTGGACAGAGAGATGACAGATGTGTACAATCTAACTGTGCGTGCAGTGGACGGAGGCGATCGTTTCTGCCAAGCTTCTGTGCTCATCACAGTCGATGACGTTAATGACAGCGCCCCCAAATTCACATCTGAAAAACATCATGTTAGTATTTTTCAGAATACACAACCTGGGACGTACGTGGCACGGCTAGAGGCTTTCGATGCAGATACTGGTATGAACAACTTTACAACATTATCAACCATTTCTGTTGTTTGCTAACAATGTTTGTTTAAATTCCCTCATACAATCATGAAGAACAATTTGTTAGACTGTAGTTAGATGTACAGTAGTTGTTTCCAGCAGTGTGTATCTTGATTTAAGCTGTTGTTGCATCAGTAGTTTTTAGTCAATGCCATCTTTTTCTCTGCGTGTCATTTCATCACTCTCATCTTCACTCAGCGTGCAGCATTCCCTGACAATGGGACAGCTGAATATAATCTTTGCTCCTCATGCATAATTGTCTTTTCTCCCTACAAAGGTAACAATTACTTTCTCGCAGTGGTATGCACTCTAATTTTCTGCAGATAATTTGAACTTTCTGCCTCGGAATTAAAGTTCAGATCACTTTTTCCTTTTCTGACATCTAAAGTGACTGTTGCGTTTGACTTCAAATTATTATTGAATTATTTTTGTCCATCTGGGCTTCAGTCTCAACACTAAATGGCGAGATGCCCATCTCCTTTGTTCAGATGAAGTTACATGCATACTTTCCATTCTCTGCCACATCATTACTCTTCAAAGCTTGGTCACTTGAAGGCCCGTCTGTCTTGCAAACACTATGTGGGTACTAATGACTAAAGTAAACAACTACCCGGATGGATGTCTTGTAATTAGTGGTTCTTTCAGAAATTACCATCAACAAGATGTGTTCGTGAGCATTTGCTGATTGAAGGGGAGATTTTGAAGTGATTAATTCCAATTCACTCAGCTGTCATCGTAGGATTTTCATAGGCGTTAATTAGTCAGAGGCAATTAGGCTGGACGACCGGGCGACACTAACAACAAGGTCTGCTCTCATTGCACTAATGAGCATATAAACTGCAAATTAACCCAACAAGAAGCAATCAGATCATATTTATGCCATCCTACTCCACTATAATATGAAACAGACTAGAGGAATAGGCTCATTTTTGCATCCCTTGGGTTTCATTGCAAGTCCAGACACTCTCCTTATGCCGGGTTCAGACTACACGATATTTTTGTCGGTCACGATAGTCACTGTGTCAGATTACACGATTTTGACTCCTAAAATCTTGTCATGTCGTGGACAAGAAACATGTCAGACTATACGTTGCTTCCCGACCATTCATCGCGTACCGTCTTTAACGACGCGCGTGATGTCATCGAGTAGGCGGAACTAGATGGAATCTTGCATCCCGACGCCCATTGTCGTTTACGAATCCCCATGACACCCTACGTCAAGCAAATCGTGGCAAAATCGGGCTAAAATCGTGTAGTCTGAACCGGGCATTAGAGTGTTATCATTTCAACCCACTCATGACTTAATGATATAATGGTATGCTTATGCCCACTTCTACTCAATTTAAGCCCAATTTTTCAACTTGTTTACTCTTCTCAACTATGTGTCTTTATTTTAGGCTGCATTTTTGTCATGAAGCATCATGAATTTAATTACAAAGAGCATAAATCACAGCACAAATCACTGTTTCTCTTGTTTACAGTAAGTGCAAAATTTTTTTTTTTTTTTTACAGAGAAAGACTGTAAAAATGCTATAGAAAAAAGTGTTAGCTGGTTAACTGTAAGTTACCTGACCATACAGTGAAAAACTGTACATTTTTTAACATCACGTGTAATTTTACATTAAAACTGAAGTAAAATCTATGAATTACCATTATATATATATATATATGTGTGTGTGTGTGTGTGTGTGTGTGTGTGTGTGAAAGGACATTCGCAGAAGTCTCTGTGTGGCACATCTCATTATTATTATTATTTTTTTTTATTTGAATAGTTTTGTTTCTTGCTTTTGTCATCAGTGATGTACATGATGATGTTTTGTGTTAACTTTCTGTTATTTAGTTAATGTTTACTTAAATATTTTAATACCCTGATGGTATTTTGTGTTTATGACCAAGTGCACAGTCTACCATGTATATGAGTTTTGGCCATGATTTATGGACAGGCCACATATGATGATGCATCATGCCTTTTTCAACACAGATGCCATTTTTTTAAACTGTAAATTTAACAAGATATTTTTTATATTGAGTGGTTTGAGAGATGGGTGCTGACATCTCATATATCCCACAGCACCACAGCTCTGGCATATTAAGCTATTTAAACAACCACCTATAAACCTTATATTGTTAACCAATAAAAAAATTAGCTCCATTTCTGCTATAAACAAAGGGCTTTCAATGAAAGAATGAAAAGAGGACTTGTGTGAACACTCAACATACTAAATTGACTTTTTCAATGATTCAATTCAATTCAAAACACTACAGGGAACTGAGAACTTTAAAAACTACTCTGAGACAGACTGCTTCCGCCAACAACCACCTGTTCCCAGCCTACACACCAGAGTCCCATGCTGCCACAAATCTAATACGGGCCTTTAGAAATCTAATGCAGACCTCCATTACTTGTAATGCGTTACCCCCAACACTGCACACTACACGTGCTGAAACGATGGAATCTTGCGTCCCGATGCCCATTGTCGTTTACGAATCCCCACGACACCCTACGTCAAGCAAATCGTGGCAAAATCGGGCTAAAATCGTGTAGTCTGAACCGGGCATTAGAGTGTTATCATTTCAACCCACTCATGACTTAATGATATAATGGTATGCTTATGCCCACTTCTACTCAATTTAAGCCCAATTTTTCAACTTGTTTACTCTTCTCAACTATGTGTCTTTATTTTAGGCTGCATTTTTGTCATGAAGCATCATGAATTTAATTACAAAGAGCATAAATCACAGCACAAATCACTGTTTCTCTTGTTTACAGTAAGTGCAAAATTTTTTTTTTTTTTTTACAGAGAAAGACTGTAAAAATGCTATAGAAAAAAGTGTTAGCTGGTTAACTGTAAGTTACCTGACCATACAGTGAAAAACTGTACATTTTTTAACATCACGTGTAATTTTACATTAAAACTGAAGTAAAATCTATGAATTACCATTATATATATATATATATGTGTGTGTGTGTGTGTGTGTGTGTGTGTGTGTGTGTGTGAAAGGACATTCGCAGAAGTCTCTGTGTGGCACATCTCATTATTATTATTATTTTTTTTTATTTGAATAGTTTTGTTTCTTGCTTTTGTCATCAGTGATGTACATGATGATGTTTTGTGTTAACTTTCTGTTATTTAGTTAATGTTTACTTAAATATTTTAATACCCTGATGGTATTTTGTGTTTATGACCAAGTGCACAGTCTACCATGTATATGAGTTTTGGCCATGATTTATGGACAGGCCACATATGATGATGCATCATGCCTTTTTCAACACAGATGCCATTTTTTTAAACTGTAAATTTAACAAGATATTTTTTATATTGAGTGGTTTGAGAGATGGGTGCTGACATCTCATATATCCCACAGCACCACAGCTCTGGCATATTAAGCTATTTAAACAACCACCTATAAACCTTATATTGTTAACCAATAAAAAAATTAGCTCCATTTCTGCTATAAACAAAGGGCTTTCAATGAAAGAATGAAAAGAGGACTTGTGTGAACACTCAACATACTAAATTGACTTTTTCAATGATTCAATTCAATTCAAAACACTACAGGGAACTGAGAACTTTAAAAACTACTCTGAGACAGACTGCTTCCGCCAACAACCACCTGTTCCCAGCCTACACACCAGAGTCCCATGCTGCCACAAATCTAATACGGGCCTTTAGAAATCTAATGCAGACCTCCAGAACTGACCTTTCCTAATACTCTTTCTTGTTTCTTTATCTCCAGGGATGAACGGTAAAATACATTACTCGTTTGAAGACTCTGCCGGAGGTCTGTTTTCAATCGAGGAGAGCTCAGGAATTATTAGTTTAGAAAGGTCCCTGGACAGACAGACGAAGGCCATGCATGTGCTGAGGGTACGAGCAACAGACCAGGGCTCTCCTCATAGACTGTCCTCTCTCAGCTCTGTGGTGGTGACAGTGCTGGATGCTAATGACCATTCACTGGCGTTTGAGCATAGGGAATACGTTTCCACAGTTCCTGAGGATGTTACGATAGGGAAAAAGCTTCTGAATGTCTTTGCTGCAAGCAGGGACCGGGAAATTACTTCCCAGACAATGTACTCTATCACTAGCGGCAACGAGCAAGGGGCTTTCCGAATTGATTCACAAACAGGTGACACACACACACACACAGTTTCCCCTCTGACAGTGTGGCTCAAAGAGGACTCCACTGTAAATGTTTGTGTTTGCAGGTGACATCTTTGTTATGGAGCCGCTGGACTATGAGGTGTCTCCACAGCACTACCTGACAGTGAAGGCCACCACCAGAGGAAAACAGTCGCTCAGTGACACAGCTAGTGTTACTATTCACCTCCTTGACAACAATGACAACAGCCCTGTGTTCAGCCAGAAGATCTACTTAGCTGTAGTCAGTGAGGACGCCAAACTTGAGAGTACAGTGCTGACGGTAAGTGTTTTGCATGTGTTTGCATTAAATTACACTGTATCTTTGAAGTGGTCCATAGTGTAGGCAGTTATGTTTTGCAGTATGTATGGCAGTTATGTTTCAGGTTCTCTTTACACTTCCACTTCACAATATGGTCTGTTTTTATATGCAACAAGTTTACAACCACTTTTTTTTTTTTTTGTCACAACTTAGTATTTTCATAGTTAATAAAACCCAAACAAACAGAACACCCCTGCTGGTCTTAGCTGGTTTAAGCTGGAAGTAGCTGTTTTTAGCTGGTCTCCCAGCCTGGCCAAGCTGGTCTAATCCAGCTATAACCAGCTTAGCTGTTTTTTTTTCTTTTCTGTTCTTAATGCAACATGCTTTAAGAATATTCAGAACACCTTATTAACCACATTACACCACCATGGCAAACAACACTAAACAGCCTACCATCCAATTCTCCAAGAACAACCTATCAACTGCATAACAACTTACTTAAGAGCCCAGAACACCCCAACAACCACAAAGTAAAATGCCAAAAAACACTCATGACATCCAGGGCCATACACAGGTTTTTATAAATACCGAGGTCCAAAAACTGAGGTTATTTTTGATTTTTTTTATTGCATTTTAAGATGTTTCAAGGACAAAAAAAGAACAATTTATGACAAACATTAATTGTTTGTCAAGCAGAAAGCAGATTCTTACACATGAGAATCAGGTTGAATGTTTGAATGAATTGTCCACACTACAAACTGAAAACACAGAAGGGTTAAATATTAAAAATAATTTAGTAAAATTATACTTCCTTTATTTCAGCATTTTGGATTTAAATTATAGAAATGTGTCTCAAACAGTACATAAACATTAGCGGAATGTGTTTTATATTATGAATTTGTAGGAGCATCAATGTTCAAATAGCTTCAGCAACATGTTTCTTTCCTGAATTAATCAATGTTTTCAAAGTCTCAGTGACTGTGTCAGTGACATATGGTCAACTGATATTTTATGTATACTGTATGTTTTATGAAACATTTTATTAGACAAATGAATTTACCTACAGCTACCAGGTATATAGTTTATTAAATTCATTAACAATATGTGCACATTCATTAGGCAGCATAAAATGCTGAAAACAACTCTGTTAATGTTTCTCGTCTCATCACATTGACAATTACGAATTAAATGAACCACATAAATCATAACCTATATTAAATTCATAAGGCGAAATTAGACAAAAGTTAGTTTGCATCCCTGATTATACCATATCTGTCAATTATTTAACATTTCTATTGTAAAACATCTATCAATTATTAAATATTTAGTTTAGCTTCTTGCATCTTATCTCTCAACTGAAGAGTCATGCTGGAATTTGACTCAGCAGCATCTGTGAACAGTAAAGCCCACCTAATCTGACTTGATGGGTCATCTTAAACATTTCGATGTTGACGAGCGTTACTAGAGCTCTAAAGCAGCTCGTGAGAAAGTCGGCTATCTTGGTGCTGTGCGATATCCTTGATGCACCAAAGTAGAGTTAATATTAGGCAATTCTTTCATTGTATACATTGGAAAAAATACTGAATTCCGGACCTCGCGGACCTCAATGGTGGGTACAGCCATGATAACACCTTACCAAGCGGATAGCACCACGCTGGCAACCATCAAGAACATCCTAGCAACCGCATTGCACCACTTTAACATCCACCCTGAACACTTCGGCATTGTGCCGACAAGTTTCGGGCGAACAGGCACCACATTAATCTACTTAAAATGATGAAATTGTATTTTGATTGTGTTGCTAAACCAATATATAAAATGTGTGGCATATGGTTTATGTGAGATTAACAGATTTTCATCAAGTGTAATGATCCCTGTCCGTAGGTACTAGCGAATGATTTTGATGGGCCTTTAAACAACCGGATCCACTATTCCATTGAGAACAACAACCAAACATGTCCATTCATCATGGATGCAGGCAGTGGTGAACTGCGACTGGTCCATCAGTTGGACAGGGAAAAGGTAATGCTTTTTGAATAACATCTTCCTCCTTGACTACAGCTTCACAAGCCTTGACAACAGTGTTCCTAATTCCTTGCAAAAGCCAAGGATGAATCCATCTTTTCTGCCTTTTTCATCTCGGTTAAATTAGGTAGCGAGTTACATGCTGACCGTTCTGGCTTCCGACAGTGGAAATCCCCCCAAATCCGACAGCGCTGCAATCAACGTGACCGTGTCTGATGTGAATGATAATCCCCCTGTCTTCTCTCAGGCTAACTACAGTCTCATCATCCAGGCAAGACCACACTTTCCCATAGAGTAGAGCAAATTAAATCCTACACTCTCTCTCCTAAACTCCATGCCTGAAATCTCAGTGAGAGGTGATGTTATAATCTCTCAGTTCTTTTGGAGCGATTCTGGATATCTTTCTCTCTTCTGTAGGAGAATCTGCCTTCAGGGGCCACAGTGTTACAGCTCAATGTGACAGACAATGACTCCCCTCAAAATGGGCCACCTTTCTCCTTTAGTTTTCCGAAGGGTGATGAGTCAAGCTCATTCAGCGTAGAACAGCAGGGTGTGGTAAAGACAGCTGGACCACTAAGAAAGGGTCAGCATATACTCCAAGTGCAGGTGAGAACTGAGCTTTGTTCATTTGTTGGGACTTCATGGACCCCTGTGGGTGCTTCACAAATAGCCAGGGGACCCTCACTGATAGAGTGCAACAGTGACTTCTTTAGCAGAATGGGGTTCCCGAAGTATACATTTTCCCCTTAGGAATTAAAAAATAATAGCCTTAAACCAAACCAACCAAATTAGTTAAAGCAAAAATGTGTCTGAAATCATAAAAAATACAAGGTAGTTATTTGCAGACACATTGGGCTCATGACAAGTTTCCGTGGCTTAGACACGTTGGACAAACTATACATGATTAGAGGATGATAACCTGATATTTAGGCTGAGAACAGAATAAATTTTTGTAACCCCCCCCCCAAATCTAAAATATTAATAAGTCTTTGATTTGATACCAAAATGTACCTGTTAGTGGAAGATTCCATTGTGTTATGTGATGCAGACATTTGTAAAGAGTCATGTGTTAAAAGTTCCCTCTTGTGTTGAACAAGTGTCATAGCAGGCAAGTGAAAACACTTTTACAGCCTCCCTATCCACAATGCTCCGGCCTACAGTCCAGTAATATTGGCAGAATTTAGTTAGATACATAATTATAGCTTACTTATTCTAACTTATAGACCAATTTTATATTTCATAAATATTATGTCACATTTTGTATTTACTTTACTGTTCAAAAATTTGGGGTCAGTAAGACTCCATTAAAAAAAAGAAAGAAAAAGAAAACGAAAAGAAAGAAATTAATATTTGTAATTCAGCAAGGATGCATCAAATTGAACAAACGTGACGGTAAAGACGTATATATAATTTAAAAAAATATTTCTATTTCAAATAAATGCTGTTCTTTTGAACTTTCTATTCATCAAAAAATCCTGAAGTGCATCGTTTCCACAAAAATATTAAGCAGCCCACCTTTTTAAAACTTTGATAATTATAAGAAATTTTTCTTGAGCTGCAAATCAGTATATTCTAATGATTTCTGAAGAATCATGTGATGCTTATATTATATTATATTATATTATATTATATTAATTATATTATATTATTAATTTATTTAAATGAAAACCTTAAGTTAGTCATTGCTTAAAATATTAATTGTCGTATGTTCAAATATGAATTAAATAAAAATACAAAAAAGTTTAATTGAATTTTAACTATTTGTATGTACTTTAACAAATATTCTGTCATACATTATATATGTTTATTAGGGTTATTAATAAAAGTTAATGTAAATTGTTACCTTAGTCTAAAATCTAAAAGGAAAATCTTCTGTGTCTAATTTCAGGTGTCTGACAATGGAAGGCCTTCACTGAAATCAGTCACATCTCTCAGTGTGCTTGTAGTACAGACAAGTGTGTATCCTCCATCTGTGCTTTCTCTGGATGTTTTCATCATGATCTTGGAAGATGAGTATTTAGGAGGCATGCTGGGCCAGGTCCACGCCACAGATCAAGATGAATATGATACGCTCACATTCAGTCTGGAGCCACAGTCACACAGCTTGTTCTCTGTCATTGGCACGGATGGCAGACTGTTGGCCTGCGGAGGCTTGGACGTGGGTCATTACCAGCTTAATGTCTCAGCCAGTGACGGCCGTTTCTCAGCCTTAGCCAGTGTTACATTGAATGTGCTGCGGGTCACAGAGCAGATGCTGGACAGTTCTGTTTCTGTGTGCTTTGCTGGCATCACTGCAGAGGATTTTATTCAGGACCACTGGAAAAACTTCCAAAAAGCAGTCCGCAGTATCGCCGGAGTCCGCAGGGGCGCCATGCAGTTGATCAGTCTACAGACTGCAGAAACTGGCGACAGCCTGGATGTTCTTCTGTTCTTTGAGAGATCAGGACGAGGTGGCAGCTCGCTGGAAGCCCTCTCTCAGAAGCTCAGCTCTTCCAGAGCAGCCATCAAAGAGATGACAGGACTACATGTAGTGCGGGTTTTGAATAGTCAGTGCTCAAGCTCTGAGTGTCCTGGCAGTATGTGTAGACGAGTGGTCCTGCTTAACCAGACCAGTATGGCCACATACAGCACTGCCCGAGTGAGCTATGTCACACCCAGACACCACATGACAGCCAAATGCCTGTGCACAGGTATGCAATGTTACCATCATAAACTGGGTAACAGTCTATAAAGCTGTTGCATTTTGAATTGTGAAATAAAAAAAATAAAAATAAAAAAAACATTTTTTCAATGTGTAAATAATAATAATAATAAATATTATGAATACTTAATTTTTACCTAATTAGATTTTGATTATTAGTATTATTATTTGTACTTTTATCATTAAAATAAATATTTCTACACAATAATAATAATAGTTCTAGAGGTATAAAAGAATATTAAATCATGGCTTGTTTTTACACTCTTATTTAAAAAAAGTTTATTTTTAAATTTATTTTTAGAATGAATTGCACAATTATTATTAATAATAATAACAACAACAACAACAATAATTCTAGTTTTAGAGAGATAAAAGAATATAAAATTATGATTTGTTTTCATGGTGTTTGATTAAAAAAAAACTAATTTATACAATCCCTAATAAAACCAATAATTTTTGTGTTATTTGTACTATTATCATTAATAATAATAATATTTTTTACAATTGTATTTTTAGTATTATTTGTACTATTATTATTAATGCAAATATTAATAAATAATAATAGTAGTAGTAATAATAATAGTTGCTGTTGTAATAATAAAAGTACAAATATTTGTAGAAATTATTATTACAATTATTATATTGTGTAATGATGCTTTGACAATATTGTATGTAAAACAATAAAGTCTATAAAGTACATTTGTTGAATCTCAACTTACGTTTTTTTTTTTTTTTTTCAGACAGAAAGTGCCTGAAGCATGAAACCACTTGTGTAAACAGCCCATGTCCAGAGGGCTATGAGTGTGTGTCAGGCTTTGGGCAAGACAAACACAGCTGCATATGCACAGGTGCTGCCAAAGTCAAATGCTCAGGTAACAGTGAATTAATTTCCTTATCTGAGAAGACAGTGTCATTCGAGCCGTTCATGCCAGACTAGGGAGAGAGGTGTTGTAATAATGTAAAATATGTGAAAAATAATGTGTTTTTCGAACAACGTAGTATGAGAGCCTGTTCTAGTACACCCCCAAAACAAAATCAAGACTTTGTAAAAGAGCATAATAGGACCCCTTTAATGCAGAGAATGGCAGCTTCTCTTGAGTAAGATCTATGAGGTGTTTAACAGTAAATCATCTACATTATAAAACACATGAGTTTCTTCAGCTGAGAAATGGGTATCCTTTATTATATCCTTAACGAGAATGTCATAACAGTTTTAATTATCTTCCCCAGTGTTATACTTCTTTTGTTAGAGTAATTATAATTGATGTATTTTACTATTACAAAGACATTATAATGGTAACCTTAATTTCTGCCAAAATACCATTTTGTAAAAACCATACTGAGTGATCAGTTTTATTTTAGAATCGATGACTGTAGTTATTATGCAGCTAAAGGCAAAATGCAGTAACTGTACACTGAGTCAAAACTGAACTCTGGCTGTTATCAGGTCTCTTATACTATAATCTGTCCATTAAGTTACCAGTTAGCTCAACTATGTAAAAAAAAAAAAAAATCAATCAATCAATCAATCAAAAAGCAATTTTCTCAGTTCCAGTGTTGCTGTAGTTACTGTATTTTGCTTGTGTATGGCAGTATGATATTGTGGTGGAAGCATTAGTTAATCCTTTTAGTATGGTCTACAATTTTCCATTGCTTAAAATTATTTAGTAAGTCATTTATTATTACAGCCAGTTTTAAGGTGTGTAAAACAGACATAAGCGACCAGGATCCCAACTTAAATGTCATCTGTTTTTATTTTAATTTATTATTCTGTTTTTTCTGTTCCAAGGAGGATCTTCAATGACATTTAATGAAAGCAGCTACATTAAATATCGCCTGAGGGAAAGCATGAGAGAAGTGAAGCTCACGCTCAAGTTAAAAACTCTCTCAAGAGAAGGAACAGTAATGCTTGCCAGAGGAAGAGGCCACAGTGTTTTAGAGGTATAAAAGAATATTAAAATACAGTACCGTATACATAAACCCTAATAGAATCAGATGTCCCTAGATAAGTCTGAAAACAGCTTAAACTAGTCTAGGGTGGTCTTTATGATGGTTTTAGAGTGTTTTGTGGCAGGCTGGGAAACTAAATAACTAAACCATTTTAAACCAGCTTAGACCAGAAAATCACCTTAAGCTGGTTTAAGCTGTTTCTTGGCAGTGTACTTTGGATGATAGCAACTTTATTTTTCCATTTCACCTAAATTTTGCCATTAGATTTCTTAATATTGACTGCATGTTTTCCTTAGATAGTGGGCGGCCGACTGCAGTTCCAGTTGGATTGCGGCTGGGGTCTCGCTACAGTTTCTGTGCACAGCGTCCTGGTGAATGATGGCCAATGGCACATGGCAGAACTTGAGGTGAAGGGTAACTATGCCAGGCTGAATCTGGATCAGCTCCATTCTGCATCAGGCATCGCGCCCGGTCCCCTCCACTGCCTCAACCTGGGTGACCAGGTGGTCCTGGGTGGACACGCTCAACGTCTCGGTTCCAGACTCAGGCGCAATCTGCCTGTATCAGACAGCCTACAGGGCTGCATGGACTCTGTGCTGTTTAATGGACAGAGACTGTCCTTGGACTCAAATGGTCCATTAGGGGTTGCCATTGAGGACATGGTGGGAGTGTCTCCTGGCTGTGTCTTCTTCCCATCTCCAGACTGCTCCAGTAATCCCTGCCTCAACGGAGGGAGCTGCTTAATGAGGCAGAGTGGAGGTAGACTGAACCCACATACTGTAGATTTATGAAAATATCATACTAAGAATATCTGTATTAATTTTTTCATATTATTATTCAGATAAATATTATTATTAGACTCCAATAGTCTACAACCTCATCGTTTTTCCCCCCCTTTTAATCTGGAATAATGAATTAAATAAATAAATACTGTGGGAGCCCATTTCCGCCTTAGGATACAAAAAAGGTCATTGCAACTTTATATCTCACAGTGACTTTATGTCTTGTAGGAATTTATGTCTTCAAATTTATATTACATTTTTACTTTTATTTTTACTTAATTAAAAAAGTCTCATTGAGAGAAATAAAGCGTCATTGTGAGATGTACACTACCATCAAAAGTTTGGTAGCTTTTTTTTTTTAAAGAAAGTAATACTTTTATTCAGAAAGAATGCATTAAACTGATCAAAAGTGACAGTACTGACTTTTAAATTGTTACAAAAGATTTGTTTTAAATAAATGCTGTTCTTTTGAGCTTTATATTCATTGTAGAATCCTGAATTTGGTTTCCACAAAAATATTAAGAAGCTCAACTGTTTTAAACATCATTTCCCTTTCAAGGGAACTTCGAACTGGACCCACTGCTGCTGAGGCACGGAGGAGGATGGGCTCGTGGGGATCGCAGGTGGATCCGGCTGATGAGTTTAAAAAGGGGTTTTAGAGTTTAAAAAGGTAGGGTTAGAAGGAATCGCGGGTCAAAAGGAGGTAGGCAAGACCTAGGGATGTGATCCAGACAAGGCATCAGCACTTTCGTCCGGATCAGAGTGATACTTGAGTATCTACTCATTTTCTTCGGGGCTTTTACATCTGCCCTTATCTTCGCCTTCCTAATTCCCCTGTAACCACCATCTCTCCACCTGACCGAGGTTAGGTAGGAACTTTCTGCATTACAGTCTCCTATGCTGGACCTATGATGTAACGTTTGATTCTATGGCTTCATAGTAACCACCTTACTGATGGTCCAGACTAGAGGCTTCTTCGGGTCGCTTCTTGAACGGGGCTCCTGTGCGGGAACCATGGTGGGTGAGTACGATCCATTTTTATTAAAAATATATATTTAATACGCTAGAGGCTTCTTTGAGTCGCCTCTTGAACGGGGCTCCGGCGCGGGAACCATGGTGGGTGAGTATGATCCATTATATATGTTTTTAATGTGCTGGTGGTTGTGTGTGTATAAACCTTCTGTGAGATTTCTTTGCAGCGTTTTCCGGGAGCTGTGTGTTTCTGTCCTTTTTAAGGTAGGTCCTCTGTGAGCACCCCTTTGCTGGATTCAGAAACCAGGTGCTCGACTGGCAGTGTTACCTCACTCGTCGATATTGTGTCCAGCCGGTATGATAGCCCTGGTTCCGGCTTCATGCTTCCTGGACCATGCAGCCAGGTCAGAGGTTTCTGCGGGAGCCTTCTTGATCATCAGGCCCCCGGCATGACACTGCAAAAAATTCCTGGATGTCCGGGCTCCAGGATATCCCCTCTTGCTGAGGCATCGAGCGGGAAGTATAGGTGGCATTTGCGAGAACCTTCTTGTGTAATGCTGTCTCAGGCAGTGCTCC